CACTAAAAAGCCACTAATTCCTCTAAGATTCCCCATATTAAATGAGACAATAGGATAAGAATAAACTACCATTTACCAAGTTGTAGCAACATGTCAATGCTTTTATACATATCCATGTATTTTCTTTAAAAAGCAGAAAAGCAGTATCACTGGCCCTTTTTATTTTTAAAAAGATAATGGGGCCGGGTGCAGTGGCTTATGCCTGTAATCCCAGCACTTTGGGAGGCCAAGGCGGGCAGATCACGAGGTCAAGAGTTCGAGACCAGCCTGGCCAACATGGTGAAACTCCATCTCTACTAAAAATACAAAAATTTGGCCGGGCGCGGTGGCTCACGCCTGTAATCCCAGCACTTTAGGAGGCCGAAGCGGGCGGATCACAAGGTCAGAAGATCGAGACCATCCTGGCTAACATGGTGAAACCCCGTCTCTACTAAAAAATACAAAAAATTAGCTGGGCATGGTGGCAGGTGCCTGTAGTCCCAGCTACTAGGGAGGTTGAGGCAGGAGAATGGCATGAACCCGGGAGGCAGAGCTTGCAGTGAGCTGAGATCATGCCATTGCACTCCAGCCTGGGTGAAAGAATGAGACTCTGTCTCAAAGAAAAAAAAAAACTATAAAAATACAAAAATTAACTGGACGTGGTGGCGGGCGCCTGTAATCCCAGCTACTTGGAAGGCAGAGGCAGGAGAATCGTTTGAACCTGGGAGGCAGAGGTTGCAGTGAGCTGAGATCGCGCCATTGCACTCCAGCCTGGGTGACAGGGCAAGACTCCATCTCAAAAAAAAAAAAGAAAGATAATGGAAGAGGCAGCCACCCACAGGTCATGTGATCTTGGACAAGCCCCTTCCTGCATTTCATAGCTAAGGAAACAGGATCATAAATGTTAATCACAGGTACTCACAGTAGAGAGGTTTTATGAAAATAAAATACAAGATCAAATTCAAAGAGCTTTAAAAACCACAGAGCCAGACAAATGTGAGAGGTTATTATGAGCAAACAATGACATTACAGAAGTGAAAGTGCTCAGTGCCATCAAGAACAAGGGCTCTATTTCACTCCCATGTGTCACCATAATAAAGACAGAGTCCCTGATTTCAAAGGCATCAATTTTGCCCCATTGGAAGCCTTCGGAAAATGTTAAAATTGTAATTCATTAATAGAGCAGCATCCTAAAAGTTCCTGCCATTTCCAGGAATCCAAACAACTGGTTTTAGGTCCTAAAGAATTGGAATCATTAAGAAATTTAAAGTACTAATAGAGTTTCTGGTAGTCCTACAAGTTTAGGTTTCTGCATGGTTAAGAAACTGAAAGACAGATGATTTTTTAATTGGTTCCATTTTCCCAGTTCTTTTTGTTCTAATCCAAGAATTGTTCCAGTCCATATGCTTCCTTCAATCAAAATGTCCCCAAGTTTATGGAATGGGCTTCCCTTGTCCCCACTTAATGGCTCAAGAATACCACTGTTATATTCTTTTTTTCCTTTCAATTTTGTTTTGTGACTCTGGAAAAATACTGGATACTTTCAATATCTAATATGATATGATCTCATGATAGTTTCATATTATTTTCAATCTCTAATATGTAAAATTAAGTAATCTGATATTTTTAATGTTTACTAGCAGACAAATTAATTACAGAAGTGCCAGGAAGACTCAAGGAATTGGAAATTAGGGTTTAATTAGTGGTTACTTAGAACAGCTGTTCTCAAAAATCACCTGGACAACCTGCTGAAACACAGGCTGCTGGGTGTCATCTCCCCAGTTGCTGAGTCAGTAGATCCAGATGGGACAGCATGATTTGAACTTTTAATAACTTTTAATAACTCCCAGGGAATGGTGAAGGCTGCTTGTCCTGGGACCACCCTTGAGAACAACTTATTTACATGGTTATTGGAAGGGTCAAGAAAGACAAACCACAGAAGCCTCCTCTTCTGTCTTTCTTGGGATGTGGGTTGCTCTGATGTTGAAGTGGGTGGGGTTAGGAAGTGACTGGGAGAGACACCGTAAACCAGGATGACAGGTTTCGTTTTTAAAATCTTTGCCACAATTTCCTGCTTTAATCCAGGCTTTATCTCATGAGCAAGAAATCATGAGATCTAAAGTCCTTCTGGCAAGACCAGGCTCTAACTCTCTCTATATCACCCTGGGATCCCAAAAGGACCTTCCATAAGAAGAAACAAAGGGGGCCTGGCGCGGTGGCTCAGGCCTGTTACCCCGGCACTTTGGGAGGCCGAGATGGGCGGATCACGAGGTCAGGAGACCGAGACCATCCTGGCTGACACGGTGAAACCCCGTCTCTACTAAAAATACAAAAAAATTATCCAGGCGAGTTGGCAGGCGCCTGTAGTCCCAGCTACTCGGGAGGCTGAGGCAGGAGAATGGCGTGAACCCGGGAGGCGGAGCTTGTGAGCCGAGATCACCCCACTGCGCTCCAGCCTGGGCAACAGAGCGAGACTCCGTCTCAAAAAAAACAAAAAAAAAAAGAAGAAGAAACAAAGGGGACAAGACTACAGGGGGGAAGTCACCAGTACCGGTAACTATGACAACACCCAAACAATCCCTGCAACGTTCAAAGGTTCGTAAGAAAGGAGAGTCTGTTGTCCCATCTGGTGGCATCCAGTCCCCAAGTGGAAAGCAATCTCTGTTGCTACAATCCCCAAACTACTAGAAGCCATGCTCTCTGCTTTGCATATTGCTGGCTGCACGAACATCATATATATACATATTATACATATATGTACATACATATATATACATATGTGTATATATATATGTAAATTTTAAATAGCCCGTAGAAGATCATTGATATATCTTTATTACAGATATATAGTTCAGATCAGGAAATATTAAGTTACCAACTCCTAAAGCAACCATTTTATTTCAAGCAAGCCAATCCTACTACCATGACCAAACTTAATTGGGCCAAAGAAAGATGCCTGGTTGAGGACTATGTCAAATCAAAAGGGAGATGACCCACCCACCCCCATGGAGTGCCCCCCTGCTTGGGAAGGCTGAGGACATGGCACAGATGGGCTATGTAGGACGTTAGGCAAATCCCCTCTCCTCCCTGGGCTTTAATTTCTTCTTCTAGAAAGCTAGATTTCATTCTCTCAGAAGCACTTTTGGTTCCGACGGCCATAAACACAGTAACTTTCTGTTCTTTTGCATGCCACTCCTGGGCCCCTTCTCTTTGTACTATGCAAGGAACTTGCCCCATCATCAGATTTGAGTGGGGGAGTTTGGGGGCTCCAGAAGGCCAGGAACAGTCCTTACAAAGCCAAGGCAGACTTCAGAATATACGGTCAGACTTAAATGGCAAGGAGCTTAGACAATGTCACATTGTGGAGTTTAAAAACATGCATTTTTAAGAGCCTGGGCTTACTGAGTCAGCGATCTGGAACATTCTCAAGAGACTAAAAATACCCTGAAAGTGGACTGAATTTTAAACTAGGCTTTAAAAAACTTTCTATGTGAAAACAATTGAGTATTTCTTCTTTAAAACAGTTATCCATTTTCTTTACTTCGATTTTCACAACTGGAATTGGTAAGTATAGAGGAAGCTCCAGCCTGAGATGGGGAATTGAACGTCATGGTTCAAGGGCTGTCCAGTCTTAGCGTTGATAGCAAGGGACGAAGATTTATAACTTTAAATCTCTCAAGCAATTTACATTTTCAAAGCGAAGAGGTAAAATGCTTTCTCTTTTCTTTCTGACAGTTTCAGGATTCTCTTCCATAGCATCAAATAGCAGGACAAAGGGTTCTTTTCAACCAGGAGGTTAGTATCTGCCAAATGCTTAGCTCTTAGCATTGCCTGGCTTTCCCCAGCAAGACATGAGCAGCAGATCTGTAAATGGTCTGAAACATCCAGTAAAATGGATATCTGAGTCCCTAACTATCACCACCCCACTGGCTCCATGCAACCTTTCCCTAATTCACACTAAAGTAATACAGAAACATAAAAAAGGCAGTGAAGGAAAGCTACTGTCTGAATCTCAGCATAGAGCAGAAGAAGCTGGATATAGAAAGTGCTTTCCATGATTTTCTCAAGCGTGCTCTGAATGCAGGGGCGGACAGTGAGGGAGGCCCAGAGACCCAGGGCCTGTCACTAACCAGAAAACCACAGCATTGAGAAGCATCTTCCGCATGTTCCAAGAGAACGTTCTTATCACCGTTTGTGGGGTGCAGCCATTTACTCCGGGCTACTTGCTTAGGAGAGGATGCTGGACTCTCAAGGTGAATACGGCCCATCAATCCGGCAGCAAACACCCTTTTTAAAGCTAAGAATCTTTTTTCAGATTGGAGCAGCCTTTTCAACTGTCCTGCCTCAGCTGGGACATAACGAAATACCATAGCCTGGGTGGCTTAAACAAGTCAAACAACAATTAAGTAGGGTCACTTCAAAAGAATAGGAAATGTTTATAAACAGACACTCAATCTTTAAAAATAAATATTAGGATTTCTGTTGTAACATTAAACACGTTACCTCTTTTCAACTTAATACAGCATGTTAAAATGTTTGTAAGACCTATATAGCTGTCTGATTTCTTTACATGGTTAAAGAAGTGCGTGCATGCTCTGGCATTTAGTTATGACTTTTAAGAATGACAAAATGGCTAAACTGTATGTGATAGAAAACAAACAGCATGAAAGAAAGGAATAAATGGAAATAAGGAGCACAATATTCCAAAGGTCAGGGAATTAGGCAAACTGACATCAGCGTGGCAGAGTATAATGTAGGCAATTTATGGCAAAACTGGCAAAACGGAGAGAGTTCTACAATGTAAACGACTGGGGTCAAAGATTAAACACATAAAATAATACAAAATCTTGCCATGTCAAAAAGGGTTCACTACTCAGCACTTGAGACCTCTCCTGTTACAAGGGCTACTTACAGGAAATACACATGAAACAAAAAGCCACAGAGGACAACACAAGTGCGAAACTGAGCAATGGGATCCAACCTGAGCCCCTTCTCTGGTGGATGAGACAACGGGGACTTACACTTGGCTGCGGCGGACACCAGGAGCGTGCCACCCAGGTCCCCGCGGATCCCTTTTACAGGTTAGGGGCATCTTTCCCCAGCTTCAGTGTGCTTTAGGTTTCCAACAACCCAGAAGAGCAGCTCCTTTTTCAAAGATTGTCTTTGGGATTGTATTAGAAACACAGCTGCCAGAACACATAAGCCAGAAGTGGCTAGAAGTGCCCATACCCACAGTGGGCGTGGCCCTGAGTCGATGACTGACAGATGTGAGAGCAAGAAAGCCCTGCTCCCTGAGTCCCAGGGACAAAGGAAAAATGTACAAAGGTATAACGTACACTCCAGAGTCCACCTGTGCAATCCGGAACTTAACCTGGAACTCCCTGGAACTTAACCTAAAATTATATCCCCTCCTACCTAATGCTCCTCCAACTCAACTTTACGCCCCTGGAACCAGAAATGAATCATTTGTGTAGGAATCCTCATGTAAGCTTCTGGTCCTGAGGACCTGACCTGAGACAAGCATCCATGTGAACTAGGCACCGGGCCAGACACTGTTGGGGAACTAACCCCTCAGAGGGGAATCCTCCCTCCACTCGGGAAAAATACACGCCCAGTTGGGAGCCTGAGACGTGAGCAATGAAAACTGAACTACACGAGATACGATTTTCATGCTGAAAAAGTACTTTGGATTCAGAGGAGAGTGCGAATATGGGTATCGTTATAAATTGTTTTTATTAGTGGAGAATCAGAACTTAGGAAGGCCAGGTGATAGAGGACAAGTCTCTGAATGCCACACTCAAGGAATGGAGACCCTAATGATCCTAAACCCCAGCTTTTACCACGCCCTTCCCTTGCCCCAGGGTCTCCAAATGTCTTCTGGGTGGATTGCAGACCTGAGCAAGATGAGTGAATGACAGGCACAGTGATAGAGTTTAGATCTGTGTCCCTGCCTGTCTCATGTTGAAATGTAATCCCTAAAGATGGAGGTGGAGCCTGGTATCAGGTGACTGGGTCATGAGGGTGGCTTCTCATGAATGGTTTAGCACCATCCCCTAGTGCTGTTCTCCTGATAGAGTTATCACAAGATCTGGTTGTTTTAAAAGTATGTGGCACCTCCACGCCCTCTCTTGGTCCTTCTCCTGCCAAGTAAGATGCCTGCTCCCCTTTTGCCTTCTGCCATGAGTAAAAGCTCCCTGAGGCCTCCCCAGAAGCAGATGTTCCCATGCTTCCTGTACAGCCTACAGAACCGTGAGTCAAGTAAACCTCTTTTCTTTGTAAATTACCCAGTCTCAGGTATTTCTTTAGAGCAATGAGAGAACAGACTAATACACACAGCAAGGCCAAAGGCCACCTGCCGCAGTGCCCAGACAGGAGACAACAGCAAGAATGGAGAAGAAATACAGGTGTTGGTTGTGAAGGAAATCTAGGGGACTTGGTAACGGATGTGACAGGGAGAAGGAAGAGACGGTTAGTACATTAGTCAGCCCAGACTGTCATAACAATGTTCCCTAGACTGAGTGGATTAAACAACAGAAATGTGTTACTCACAGTTCTGGAGACTGGAAGCCCAAGATCAAGGTATCAGCAGGGCTGGTTTCCTCTAAGGCCTCTCTCTCCTTGGCTTGTGGATGGCATCTTCTCCCTTTGTCTTCACATGGTCCTTCCTCTGTGTGTAAGTGTGTCCTAATATCCTCTTCTTATGGAACACCAGGCAGACTGAATTAAGGCCTACCCATATGACCTCAGTTTATCTTAATCACCTCTTTAAAGATCCTGTCTCGAAATAGTCACCTTGAAAAGTAATGTGGGGTTAGGACTTCAACATATGAATTTGGGGGTGGGGGTGGACAATTCATCCCTTAAGAGTTAGCAATATTATGGTGGGTTTGATTCCAGAAAGACTCCATTTGAGGGGATGGCCACACATCCCAAGTATGAACATCCAGCAGGTGTATCACAGACCTGGGCATAAACTTCAGGAGAGAGGCCTTGGCTACAGAAGACTAGAAGATCCTGCTTGCTTGCCCTCCTTCAGCCGGGCATCCCACGGTGTGTGCTGTCTGGGAAAACACAGGCATGGCAACTCACCCCAGGTTTGCAAGCTCAGAAACTCAACTGTATCTATTCAAGTGCTGAACAAGCCCCCCATCAGTCAGTTCCCTTGCCGAGCAAACCCCAAAGAGGCTGCTTTATAAATGAGACTGTCTATTTAATAATTTACCCACAGAGATTCCTGGCAGGATAATGCACACCAGTCATTTCCATTGGTCACACCTTTCCATGGACTACTTTGCTGTCTACCCTTTCCACCTCCCTGTCACTCCCCAACTGGTAGTAAACTTTCTGTGGCCTGGGACTGTGTCCCACTCAATCTCATAGCTCTTTTCATTCAGTCCTAAATGTACCTAACTAATACGTGTATCTTCCCCAGCATCTAACGCAGTTTCTTTCAGGGAGCAGGGGTCAATAAATATGCATCAATAGTTATGCAGAGAAGTGGGTACTGATCTCTAACAGGTTCACAGTAGTTAAGAGCACAGACTTTCATGATCTGCATCTTGTCTTTACCAAGTATTAGGTGTGTGACCGTCCCTGAGTAGAATTAGCTACTCCATGCCTCAGTTTCCTCATCTTATCCAATAAGGGTGATAATCACTTTTATCATCCACCTCATCAAGTTGTTGTGAGCATTAAATGAGTTAATACATGTAGAGGGCTTAGAGTAGCACTCGGTGCACAGTTAACCTATATGAGTGCTGGGAATTGTTTATATCCATCATGTGCTTGACACATTACCTAGGTTGTCTCATTAAACCTCCAAACAATGGTTTGAGGTGGATGTTGCCATCCCACCCTAAAGAGGAGGAAGCCACATCCGATGAAGTTAAGTAACATCCAGATGACTACACAGCTGGCAGGCAGCAGAAACAGAAGGTGAGCTCAGAAGGGCTGAGTCCCATGCCCATTCTCTTCCCACTGCACCGTAAGAGAATTCTCACTCAAGAATGTTACCAGCCTCAGTTGGACACGGTGGTTCACACCTGTAATCCCAGTACTTTGGGAGGCCAAGGCAGGTGGATCATGAGGTCAGGAGATTGAGACAATCCTGGCTAACACTGTGAAACCCTGTCTCTATTAAAAGTTTTTTTAAAAATTAGCTGGGTGTGGTGGCACGTGCCTGTAGTCCCAGCTACTCAGGAGACTGAAGCAGGAGAATCACTTGAACCCAGGAGGCAGAGGTTGCAGTGAGCCAAGATTGCACCACTGCACTCCAGCCTAGGTGACAGAGCAATACTCCGTCTCAGAAAAAAAAAAAAAAGAATGTTCCCAGCCTGTCACAGAGAACCCCATGGGCACTAAGAGTCAGGAGGTGAAGCCAATACAGCATCAAGATCTACCCAAATATAAGGGGGTTCAGAGATGTGATCATGTCCCAAATCCTACTCTATATGGTTGCAATGCTGCATACTGTGTCAACAGCATATCCAAGCTAAAAAGCTTTTCATGTGCATCATCCAGAAGGCATCCCTAGCATTCAGGAGCCCAAAATGTCCCCCTTGGCACTCAGCTGAACCATCAGCATGCCAGCAATACCCATGTAACTCCTACATCTGGAAAGCAGATGACAGTTGGGCTCTCAGCAGCTGGTCAACAAAGTAGACTGTGACTAGGACAGGTTGTCACTGCCTTAGAGAATCCTAAACATTCCCATTCCTTTAGCTCTGGGATGACAAACAGACAGTGTCCATGCTAACTCTAATTAATTAAAAGTGACTGTCTAGAATCTGTGTTTTCCAAAGAATTCCATGGCTAAGACTGGGCTCAGTAGAGAAGAGCTCCACGATTGACTAGTGATGTCTGCCCGGGATACAAGAGGGAGAGGAGAACACTAGATGAAGGTTTTCCAACCCCTCCTCAGGCCAAATCACCTTGTGATATGGTTTGGCTCTGTGACCTCATTCAACTCTCATCTTAAATTGTAATCCCTACGTGTTGAGGAAGGGACCTGGTGAGGGCAATTGGATCATGGGAGTGGTTTCCCCCATACTGTTCTGGTGATAGTGAGTGAATTCTCACAAGATCTAATGGTTTAAAGGTGTGTAGCAGTTCCCCACTCTCTCTCACTCTCCTGCCACCATGTAAAACGTGCCTTGCTTTCCCTTCACATGACTGTAAGTTTCCTGAGGCCTCCCCAGCCATGCAGAACTGTCCATTAAACCTCTTCTCTTTATAAATTACCCAGTCTCAGGTGGTTCTTTACAGCAGTGTGAAAACAGACTAATACACTTTTAATTCACTTAGGTATTGAAAAAGCACCTGGTATCCACATACTACCATACTAGAACATGAAAACATGTATATGACATGATCCCTGCCTTCAAGAAAAGACACACAAAGGTAAGAAACCAAACAAAAATATAAATACAAGCCAAGCACGGAGGCTGCTGCCTGTAATACCAGCACTTTGGAAGGGTGAGGCAGGAGGATCACTTGAGCCCAGGAGTTCGAGGCTGCAGTGACCCATGATCATGACACTGTATTCCAGCCTGGGTGACAGAGTAAGATCCCATCTCAAATATATATATATAGATATATATATACACACACACACACACACACACACACAAATTATGTGGTAAGCATGGGGAAAATTCTCTTTTAAAACCCTGCCTACTCAGTTTTATAAAGGTTGGGGTCTTCAAGGACTCATTTTTCTCAACATGCCTTAAAAGTACTGTCAGTCAGTGGCCGGGCATGGTGGCTCACACCTGTAATCCCAGCACTTTGGGAGACCGAGGTGGGTGGATCACAAGGTCAGAACATCAAGACCATCCTGGCTAACATGGTGAAACCCCGTCTCTACTAAAAAATACAAAAAATTAGCTGGGCGTAGTGGCAGGCACCTGTAGTCCCAGCTACTCGGGAGGCTGAGGCAGGAGAATGGCGTGAATCCGGCAGGCAGAACTTGCAGTGAGCTGAGGTCATGCCACTGCACCCCAGCCTGGGTGACAGAGCAAGACTCTGTCTCAAACAAACAAAAAAAAGTACTGTCAGTTGGTGACAGCTGCCTTTTATGGAGGCCAAGCTATGCAAACCAAACTATGAAAAACTTTAAGAGTAAAAGGGACCCCGGATGCCATTTAGCTTGGTCACTTGCCACTATGGAAGCTCCTTCAGCAACAACCCAGCATGCTTGCTCAGTGCCTTCATCTACCAGCTGAGGAAGGCTGCCCACTCCAGCCTGATCAACCATGATTGCTGGAAAGTGTTTCCTTGGACTTCACCAAAATCTTCTTCCTCTCATTTCCATCCAGCTGTCCTAAACTCTGTCTTTCAGGGCCATACAGAACACAAACAACCCCTGTTCAACATGACAGTTTTTCTAATCTCTATAGGTTGTTTTCATATTGCCCCTCAGTCTTCTCTACTGCCAGTTAAACAGCCCAAGACTTCTAACTATTTTCCAGATGACATGGTTTCAGATCACCCAGCCTCCCCTGGGCTCCCTTTTTTGGGTCATCTTTGATCTTCTCAACTCAGAGAGGATTTCAGGCTCTGTTTAGATTCCTCCTCCCTTTTCCTCTTGTCAGAAATTGCCTCCAGGTAGAAAGCCAAGGCAATTATAGAGTTCATTTCACTTATGTCCATTTTCCCAGGGATCACAATCATATACTTCCTGAAATAAGTGATTTTATGTATCTTGTCCACTTTCTAGTTACTTACAGTGGGAGGATAAGTCTGGTTCTTGTTATCACATTATGGCTGAAACTGGACATCCACACATATTCAAACAAAGCTTTCAATATTTTACCATTAAATGTGATATTATAAACATTACCCTTAATATTGGGGGCAAGCTTGATACCACCATGTCTTTACAAAATTATATTGGAGTACCTAGGGAAAGCAGTAAGGCATAAAAACATACAAAGATTGGAAATGAAGGAAAAGAATCTGTCATCATTTACAGTTTCATGTTTGTCTAGATAAAAATCCCAAAATATCTACACAAAAATCCTAAAGTATATACATTTAAAATGAACCTTTAAAAAATGTGATTGCATAAAATACTGCTAATGAAAGCAACAAAAAACGTGAAGTACCCAAAAATAAAGCTAGCCACAAATGGAAAAGACCTCTATAGAGAAAATTATAAAAACTTTACTTGAAGAAATCAAGGACTTAAGAGACATACAATGTTCATGGATCAGAAGA